AGAGGAAAGAAAATATTATGCCTACATAAAATATAAGGTAACCATTTCCGTATACCTCAAGTATTCCTCTATTCCACTTCCTTCAATATTTTATAGATATTTCGGTATTGTAGGAAATATTTCATAAGATCCAAAGGTTGCCAAACTTTGACATGTAGGAAACAGATCATAGTATGACTAATCCTACGATCAACAGTAAACATAGGAACATATAGTATACCCCTCCATATATAGCCTAACAAATAGGTAAACATGTTTATCATATTTTGCCTCTGTTTACCAACGAATTTCAACAAAACAGAAGCACATTGCAAGCAAAACAAAAGAAAAGGCAACACGTGACAAAGAAATCACAGAAAGGGTGGAAAATATACAGGGGAAGTGAATCGATTTGAGTATTTATAGAAGTGCATTGTCACCAATCTTATTTTTGGCAACCACAAGCAAGACACATTTCACAATAGAATGCAAAATTTGCATTTTCCAGAAGGGCGGAAAAGGGAAAATTGTACTAGATTTGTCAAACGTACACAAGTATTCGTCTAGAGCATTCTAGAAATATGCATAACATTATGTAAATTTCAAATTTTAAAGGTTTTTTTAGTGGTTTTAAAGTATTACATTAAAGGTGAATAAATAATTTTAGGCTGATCAATTTCTATGCAATGTATTTTTAAAAATAAAATAGTTAATACGAATTTTTCCTAGATTTGTTCCATATTCTTCAAGAATAAAAACTCATGAAAACTGTGTTTTGTTTTGGCCCGCACTGACAGCCCGCGGGTCTTAGTTTTCAAAATAGTATATATATATATTTTTTTTTTGGGAAAAGGGACAAATTGGGCTGCCAATGGGATTTTCTATTCAACATTTCATTTTGCACTACATATAAACAATGCTCTCTTTTAGATGCTTGTGATTAAACAATTAAGAACTAAACGAAGGGGTCGGATGGGGTTGATCCGGGGATGGGTCCTCGGTCCTCTACTGGAGATGGTGGCTCTGCTTGCACTGCCGCAGCGCCTCGTTGAATCCCTCGCAGAGGGTCAGATCCGCCTGACCCTGGGCGCACTGGATGAACTGCTTCAGCTCCCAGGCGCAGGCTCCCTGCGGCTCGTTGGGCTGCTGCTGGGCGAAGTAGGGCTGCTGCTGGGGGGCGGGAGCGGCTGCCGCCGGAGCCGGAGCAGCTGCCTCCTTGTCGCCGGATCCGCTGAACAGCGAGGTCAGTCCGTGACCCACTGTGTGTCCAATGGCGGAGCCCACGGCCACGCCTCCAGCGGTGGCGGCCATCTGCTGGAACATCGATGGCTGCTGGGGTGCCGGCATGCCGACGGCGCTGGGTGGAGCGGCCATGGGCGCCGGCGGTGGGGGCGGGGCAGCGGCACGAGCCGGCACAGGGGCGGCTGCAGCTGCGGGAGCGGGGGCTCGGGCCTGCACAGGTGCGGTGCTGTTGGGGAAAACAAAAACAATCGGTTGTTATTCTGGACTTTGAACTTAAGCGGTGATGTTGATTATTTTGTGACGAAATAGGGGTCTTTGGGTGGAAATCAGGTAAGCTATACAAAGTGAGCTATACAAAGTGTTAATTAATGGAATCTTTTGCAAATATTCTATATAAAAGGGTATTTCAATAATATTTTAAAAAGGTTAAAAAAAAAACAATTAAATACAAAAAATTAATTCCAAGAAAATGCAGAGGAATAAAAACTAACATTATAAAAAAATAAAAAAAACTTGTAATCTATACTTCAAGACATTGGCAATATCTCCAACAAAGTATTAAAGGGGTCGTAAATATTGTATAAATTCTACATAGATGTTTGACTTATTTTTAAAGTTTTTATATCAATTAGTAAAACATAATTTAATTTGTATTGTAAAAATTTTTTTAAAAATATTTAATAATTCATTCAATTCTAAGAAGATGGAATATGGAAAATCTTATATTTTTTTTATAAAATTAAAATTTATACTTTAAGGAAATAGGAAATGGCAATATCTTCAACAAGGTATTAAAGGGAAGTTAAATATTGTAGTAATTCTACAAAGATGTTTGACTTATTTTTAAAGTTTTTATATCAATTAGAGAAAAATCGTGAAAGTACATAGGTATTGCCTTATCAATACATATTGATATATTTGGTTCAATTTTGAAAAGACCGGTGTTTTTGAACAGTTCAGGATCTCAAAAAAAAGCGAGATTTGACGGGAAACCCGTTAGATCGACAGCACTTCTAAAAAACATCCCATGTTATTGGGTCTCCTCTTATTTTTTAAGGTTACGTAACCTTAACCCAATTCAGGGCCCAGAAAAGCAGCGGCAGGCGAAATGCTCTCCATAAGATAAAGCCAGATCATGCGATTGACCTGCCAGTGATTACGAAATGCTTTCGCTACCTCAGCTTTGCTTTCTCCATTTTCCTCGAATTTCCTTTAAATCTTTGGATTTTCTTACCGACGAGTGGAGGGCGGGGGGCTGGCTGAACGTCCACGGCGAACCATTTTGTTTGTTTTAATTTATTTTTCTATCAACTCGGTTTCACGCAAGATTTTAACAGTTGTGACTGTTTTGATGACGATTTAGTACTGAAATTCAGAAATCCTGAATATTCCCAATTGGAAACTTCTCGGCCTGCTTGCAGTGTGACCCGTTAAAATACCGAAAAATATATAAAAATAAATACTTTGGTATGTTAGCCCTGGTTTTCACAGCTGACTGTGACAGTGAATGGCTAAATTAGTGAAATAAGATAAATATTAAAATTATAATATTTGCGTATAGCTTATATATATATTTTAGTCAATAAACAAGCATGCCATATAATTGAAAATATTATTTTATGATTTCATTTCAAGTAAAGGTTCCTAAATGTATTGAATATAGTTCCATTTATTTACCATAAATGCTTATAATTATTATTACCATAGCAAAATAAGAAAAATATTAAGCATAATAGGTGTTAATTTTGAAATATGCGTAGATAATTAAATATGTTGTATGTTAAATATTATTATTTATTTTTATTGTTTTTAGAGTGACCGTTATTTAACCGTGACTGGAAAATATTCAATTGCGATGTGAATGGCAACTACCGTTCAGCGGTGTGACTGGCAACGCGGGCAAATGCCGCATATCGATAGAAAGTCTAGCCATCGAGGTTGACAAAAGTGGTTTATTATTAGCATTTTATTCAATATTAGAGCACATTACTCTTTCAAAGACATCAATGTGTGCCATAAGAAGTAATTACATTCACCAGAGAATTTAAATCAAGAGATAATGCACAACTATCGCCGCTGGACAGTCATCGATAGCTCGCTCGCTTCGCAGCCCTGGCTGCCGAAATGCAACCGTGCGCGTGTCGGCGGAAATGTGACTTTCTGGCGTTGCCGCACACTGCCGTAACATGTTCTTTTTCAGGCGTTTGCCTTTGCGCTGACATCGTATCTCGATTCTTCTGTGACAAAGTAAGGGATTTTCGACGATTTACTGTGTGGATTGTGGCCAGAGTTGGGCCAAAAGACGGCTTAAAGCTATGGCCAAGTGTGGATACTGAGGGTTTTGTGAATTTATTGCGGCGATCTGCAGAAAAATGCAATTTCCAACGAAATGAGGTTAAAGACGGGCGGCTTTTTGTTTGTGTGTGTGTGCGCGAGTGCGGCAGTGTGAGTGCGTCACACGTGTTGGTTTCACCTTTTTTTTTGTATTTTTTTATTTGCCTGCTGCGAAAGTAAATAATATATATAAAATGTATATATTAGACTACATCGAAAACCGAGGTTTAATATTCCTCTATATAATATCGGACCTATGACCTAAACCTTTATAAAGGTCTATCGCAGGTCAACAACAACAACTCGCGTGTGTATGTGTAAATGGTTGTGTCTATGTGCAAATTCGGCGCACTTACTGTAAAAAAAACGTGTTAACGAGAAAAATATGTCTTAAATCGTTATATCTTATAAATTATAAATTTTTACTTCTATCTCCTATTTTTTAAATATAATATGTGATTGGCAATAAAACCCATTTTACAAAACGTATATTTTTTTTTAGTTTACAGAACGTTTTTTCAGATTTAAGAATGAAAAACTAACTAAACTATTTACATTTTTTGTATTTTGGTTGCTTTGCAACTTAAAAAACGAGATTTTCAGAAAATATAATAATAAATCATTTCCAAAATATGGCTTTATGTTGTATTTACTTAGTTTTGTTCATAAACCCTTTGTTATTTTAAATAATAATGAATTAATTATTAAAAATACTAAAAAAAAATCTAGTTGTCTTCTCCATAAACAAATAGAAAAACACGTTTTTGATAAAATTTCTTGGTTACCCAAAGCCTTTATAAATATGGTTTTATTTTTGTTTATGAAAAGCAAGAAAATAATCAGAAAATAACCTAAATATTGAAATATTTCATTGGTTACCTTGAATTCATAGGCGCATTTACATAGGTTGACCATCGTTATTAAACAAAATAATGTAGAATTATCTCACAAACAGCAAAACCCTCAGATATACCACACTATACTGCTGATTTATAGACACGTGACTAACATATCTTCCCTGGAAAACTCTTGCAGCATGGCCGAAGTTGCTGAAAACGTGGTGGAGACCTTCGAGGAGCCAGCGGCACCTCTGGAAGCCGAGGTCGCCGAGACGATCCTTGAGACGAACGTGGTGGCCACCACTGAGCTGCCCGAGATCAAGCTCTTCGGACGCTGGTCCTGCGACGATGTCACCGTCAACGACATCTCCCTGCAGGATTACATCTCGGTGAAGGAGAAGTTCGCCCGCTACCTTCCCCACTCCGCCGGACGTTATGCCGCCAAGCGTTTCCGCAAGGCCCAGTGCCCCATTGTGGAGCGATTGACCTGCTCCCTGATGATGAAGGGTCGCAACAACGGCAAGAAGCTGATGGCCTGCCGCATCGTCAAGCACTCGTTCGAGATCATCCATCTGCTCACCGGGGAGAACCCTCTGCAGGTACATACACCGCATATACACATCGATATCCTCCCCCAAAGAGCGTCCCATGCTAAACTGTGGCCAGAGATCATCGCCACTCGGCCATGGGTAGAATGGGCACGCAGAGTAACCCCAAGGTTTTAATATCCTAGTGCCTGAAGATCGCCAAGCCTCTTCTCGTTCTCCTGGAACTTAAAACTACAAGACAATATCAAGACAATCACCTCTGTTAGATTATATACCAACCAAGTTGTGTAGGAATTGATAGGGAATGAGATATAGTTTTTAGTCCTCCTCAATGCTGGTTAGATCTTAATACATACTTTCCGAAGCATAACTCTTAAATGGACTAATAGTGAACCAGAGTTTTAATTATCCTAGTGCCTGAAGATAGAAAACCACTTCTGGTTCTCCTGGAACTTAAAGCTACACTTGAAACTAGAGATGTTACTTTAGGTCAGTGGTCGGCACACACATACCATCACAAGTTTGCCTTGCATTAGTGTGAGTGTAACAAACACGAAGTTTGCGCGCGGCGTGCTGTAGCGAAACGTTTCTCTGCTTTGCACTGAGATCCTCTGCCGCAGCAACAAAAAAGCGCGCCGAAGCTGAGAAAAAATGACCCGAAGACCCATGCCGAAGTCACACGAACATGTACGTTATACGTGAGCGAGCAGAGGATGGACAGAACACTTCCCTATGCTCACTAGATAGGTCGCTGCCGACCACTGCTTTAGGTAGTCCTCCTCAATGCCAGTTGATGGTACATTTCAGCCAAACTGAGCATAAACTCATAAGGGACTCATAGAAAAGGTGTTAACTATCCTTGTGCTTGAAGATTAAACCACTTCCCGCTCTCCTGGAACTTAATTCAACATTAAAAACGATATAATACCATGAAGAATAGGGATTTTCTTTTTAATGAGTCGACCTCAATGCTAGTTGAAGGAAACTCTATCCCAGCTAAAGCATATTTTATAACAGACTCAGAGGAAACTGTGTTAATTATCCTAGTGCTTGAAGATTAAACAACTTCCCGCTCTCCTGGAATTTAAGGCAACATTAGAAATAAAGTATTTATTGAAGACTTATTGATCCGTCCAAAACTAAAACTGCAGCGTTGATTTCCACCGCGTTGTGGTATTCAATTGGACCACAACGAACCCCATGGTTAGCTATTCCTCTTAAGGGCATTGGCTTAAAGATGCAACCTTAATAAAGCATAAATCAACAAACCCCTTTTTCTCAGAACACGTTTTTAGTCCACCTCAATGCCAGACGGTTTAAATATACCTTGTCGTGCTGAGCATCTCTAAAATGGACTAATATTAATTAGAAATGTTTTAACTATCCTTGTGCCTGAAGATTAAAACCACTTCCTGCTCTCCTGGAAATTAGAACAACACTTAGCTAAACAGTATTTATTGAGGACATTGTCATCCGTCCAAAACTAAAACTGCAGCGTTGATCTCCACAACGTTGTGGTATTCAATTGGACCACAAAAAACCCCAAGGTTAGCTATTCCTCTTAAGGGCATTGGCTTAAATATGAAACCTTAATAAAGCATAAATCAACAAACCCCTTTTTCTCAGAACACGTTTTTAGTCCACCTCAATGCCAGACGGTTTAAATATACTTTGTCGTACTGAGCATCTTTAAAATGGACTAATATTAATTATAAATGTTTTAACTATCCTTGTGCCTGAAGATTTAAACCACTTCCTGCTCTCCTGGAAATTAAAACAACACTTAAACTGAAAAATATTCATTAGGCGGTAATATCCGTCCAAAACTAAAACTGCAGCGTTGGTTCTTACAACGTTGTGGTATTCAATTGGACCAAAACAAACCCCATGGTTAGCTATTCCTCTTAAGGGCATTGGCTTAAAGGTGCAACCTTAATAAAGCATAAATCAACAAACCCTTTTCTTTAGAATTCATGCTTGGTTTAACTCTATACCATACGTTTTAAATATAATCTCTTTATAAGATCTAAATGACACCTTATTAAATTTGATATTGTTATTTCTTGCAGATCCTGGTCAGCGCGATCATCAACTCCGGACCCCGTGAGGACTCCACCCGTATTGGACGTGCCGGTACCGTCCGTCGCCAGGCTGTGGATGTGTCGCCCCTGCGTCGCGTCAACCAGGTGGGTTTCTTTGGAGGACTTGATAGAAACATGTCTATATTGGCCGGTAGCTATGGCTTGTGGTTCGATGGAGACTGCAGGCTTATAATACTTGGCTAGATCGAAATTCTATCTAATATCCGTAGCGTCATAATGTGTAACTTAGCCGACATTTGGCGTATGAAACGAAGAGACATTTTTAAAACAAGTAATCTGTTTGGTGGGGTTTCAAAAAATAAAATTATAATTACTTTTTTGGAACCCCAAAAGTCTTGCTACTATATTATCCTGTTTATACATTTGCTGACATTATTCTGTATCTATTTGTTTTAGGCCATCTGGCTGCTGTGCACTGGAGCTCGTGAGGCTGCCTTCAGGAACATCAAGACCATCGCCGAGTGCCTGGCTGATGAGCTGATCAACGCTGCTAAGGTGAGTAAATATGGATTATAAAGGGAGAAAGAAAACTGGGAAAGGGAAGGTCTACTTTTATGCCTGGTATTAGATAATCAAAATGCCTGGCCTCGCTCGTAGACCAGATCGAGAACCTCGTTCCGCACTGGGAATTAACCCAGGAATTGGGCTTCATTACTGCTCATTTCATTATTCTAGTGACACAGTTGGTCATTCAAATGGGTCCAACCTAATTCTGCATCATGGTTTATTTATGTAGTCTCGCTTTTGGACCAGATCAAACTCCAAATCTTTTATTATCCTTGTGCTAGTGGCCATTTTACTGTCCTATGCACACGAGAAACGTAAAAGAACATTGATCAAGTTAAGATATTCATCTAATTCTATTAGGGTCCAACCTAATTCTGCATAATGGTTTATTTTTGTAGTCTCGCTTTTGGACCAGATTAATATTCCTTTATTATCCTTGTGCTTGTGATAATATCCTAGTTCAATGCACATGAGAAACGTAAAAGAACATTGTATAAATATAGAAACCTAAATTAGTTATCGGTCAGTTATGGGTCCAGTCTAATTCTGCATGATGGTTTATTTTTGTAGTCTCGCTTTTGGACCAGATCAATACCCATCCTTTATTATCCTTGTTCTTGTAACATCATTCCAGTTCAATGAACATGAGAAACGTAAAAGAACATTTTATAAATATATAAATCTAAATTAGTTATCGGTCAGTTATGGTCCAGTCTAATTCTGCATGATGGTTTATTTATGTAGTCTCGCTTTTGGACCAGATCAATACCCATCCTTTATTATCCTTGTTCTTGTAACAGCATTCCAGTTCAATGAACATGAGAAACGTAAAAGAACAAAGACTCCAAATTGTTTTATAATTTTATAGATTTGAACACCATATATATCACATGTACTGATTCTCAATTGTTTTATTTTTCCAGGGCTCTTCCAACTCGTACGCCATCAAGAAGAAGGATGAGTTGGAGCGTGTCGCCAAGTCCAACCGTTAAGGAGACATCACCACCAGCAAAAACAAACTTCTGTGTCTGTTTTTTTTTATACAAATAACGTGTGTACACTGCAAAATGATACACTAAATTTAAAATAAACAACAAGATGAAAAACCCGATGTAGAACAATCTTTTTTTTAATAGTTTTTAGTTATGAATAAACTTGGTTGTCAGAGATAAACTGATAATATTTGAGTTTGATTCTGTTTTCAGATGGATTTTTTAGAAAGAAATTAAGCCTATATCCTGTATATCGATACAAATAATACCCATAAATTGTATTTATTTTTGTAAATCAGTTAATTTTGTAAAACACTCAGTTTATTTTCGTATTCAGCTCATAACTTTCCTATTGGGTAATGAAGGCGTCCATCTCCAGTTGGATTCCTCGGGCTCCTCGTCGTAAATTTTCTGCATTTCCGATCTTGATAGTCTTGGCAGTCGTTGGAACCTTTGGCAAAAGCATCCGCCTGGGTCAGGAACTACAGATCCTGCTCGAGTGGCTCACTAGGCTGGCAAAAGGACAAAGGCCCCGATCAGGGTGTCGAGTGCATCCACGGGATACATCCGATCCCCTCATCGAAGCCTTGCGCACTTGCTATACCGAATGCCCAAATGGGACTGGTCCAAATCCACCTTATGAATGAGGTGAGTGGGTAAACCCAAGATTTGCCTTCAAATATTGCTCCTTGCGAAACGAGTCCAGTGCAGTGAGTGGTTGGCCGGAATATATCTCCAGGAAAGATTCCCAGGACAAACAGAAAAGGCTATTGAGATGTTGCCCGGAATGGAGAAAAAACCATCTGGTCGCCAGAATTCCATAGCTGGATGAGCTGGTCTTTGCCTATGAACAGAAAAGGCTCTAGACGTCCGCTATTAATGGCTACCATGGGGACAAATCCAGAGATCCAGAGCCGTTTCTGCTCATATGGAAAGACCAGGCTCAACCAGCCATGGAGTTCCAGATCCCCAGACGGTTCTTCCTTCACCTCGGGCATCATCTCAAGTGCCTTTTCGACTTGTCCTGGCAGTCTCTTCGAAGATATATTTTGGCCAACGCCACAAAGCACTTGACTCATTCGGCAAGGAGGAAAATTTGAAGGCAAGTCTTGGGTTTATCCACTTACCCGTTCCTTAGGTGGATTTGGGCCAGTGCCATTTGGGGCAGAACGTAGCCTTCGTGTGCTAAACTCACTTAGTTTAGATAGTCAATCATATGTCGGTGAATCTTATGGCATTTCTAGAGAAAGTCAAGAGCATTTGGCGATCACCAATGGGCCACATTGACAGTTTCTGACATGGACATGGACATGCTCCAGAGTCATCTCATTCCATCCTGGGAAAACAATGTGATTTCCCCAACGCAAGCATCAGCGGGTCCTCATTAGGAAACTCTTGAAGTAGACCGGGATTCTATGTCATCCCGACAACTGAAGGGTCATTCCCATGGCCAATTGATAAGCTACGCTAAGGAATATAAAAATATTTTATTTATTTATTTAACTTAAAATGTAAGACTATTAGCTAACTTATAAATAGAGCACTAGCAACTAAAAGCTTCTAAAATGGCGCTGAAAGGGTGATGTATTTGCTGATGAAAAAGCGATAGATATCAACACCAAGCGCTTTTTCACTAGTGGTTTATATATGAAAGGTGGTAATGAATTTAACATAGGCATGTCCTACGATTCATCACTGCACAATACTGGCACACCTTTTCATCGCCTACTTAGCCCTTTTTCATCAGCAAAAACAACACTTTTTCAGGGATGCCATTCTTGGAGTTGTTAATTAATGAAGTGGTTCGATTAGATTCGATTTGGGGTTTTCGTGTTTTTAGGAGATAAATTAAAAAAAAAGGGAAAGGATAACTCACCTTTAAGACAGGATCCTAGTGCAGAGGCGGCGGATATCGTATAGAATAGATGCGATTGCGGCCAAATTAACCCGTCCTCTGCGTGGCCGTGAAATTGAAGTAGTACCACTTCGGACTGTACAGTTCCAGAAATAGGTCCGAAAAGGGGCTGCAAAATAACGCCTTCGCTGGGATTTCGAGTTCCGCGCCGAATGATGTAGCAGATTCTGGTCGAAAGGTAACCCTGACGGGCGAAACGGGTAAGAGCAATAAATTAGATAAGGTTTTTTTCGCGGCCATGTAAAAGATTAAACCGGCGGACCTCAAAATATTCCTATTCAATAGGTGTAATAGTGTAACTCAAAAACTAACCACTTTTTTAATGAAAATTTTGCAGGAAAATTTTTCCTAAAATTAGGATAAAAATATGCTTTGCCGTGAGAACCCTTTTCGTTCGCACCTGAATGACTACTGAACATTTTCACTGAATTTTCTTTGACAAGAAACACTAGTAGGGAGACAGTTTTAAAGGCCTACTAGGATAGACAAATATCGTTTCATTTTAGACCCCTGCACTATGGGCGTTTTACCACTATTACTGTCCAAAATAATAACTCCCTTAATTTTAAATATATAGAAATAAAGCTATGCCAATCGGTATTTTGTATCAAAACGCATATTAAGTAATCAAATCCCGCGGATCTGAGAGCTATATCATATAGCTGCCATAGAAATGATCGGATTAACTTTACTGTTTTTGAAAATAAAAGCATATAACTTTAGAAATTATGATTAAATACGTTTTTAAATACCAAAGCTTATGGTATGATTAATTTAAAATCATTCAAAAATTTCTGGTGTAGTTTTTGGTGTAACATATTTTACATATTTTGACGTCATAATGTATAATAAGCGTCTAGCAGAATAAACTTGATCACTGATTTCTGGTCCAACAATGATCAGTGATCTGTTGTTTTGCTGAACGCGGCCCTTAAATGAAGAGTAATACCCTATTCACACTGGAGGGGTTTCCGCTTCAGCGACCAAAATCCGCTTCAGCGACTTTTTCTTCCATAAGCCTAGTACTCAGATCGACGAAAACCGCGAGCTAACCATAGGAGTGAGCGAGAGGCAAATACGCGGCTAAAGGTTTTCGTCGGGTCTGTTTTTCAGCGCGGTACTCAGATGAGCTAAGGAAATACTAGAAAAAAACCAGATTTCGTGAGTAAATTTTCGATGAACGCCGTTAGCCGCGGCCCAAAGAATAAGAAATTTAATCTTTGGCGGTGTTCGTGCAGAAGCGGAGGAATTTAAAAATTAGAAATGGAAGAAAAACACCAAAAACGGGTAAGGGAGGTCAGTGAAGATGAACAAGGACACCTAATCCAAGCTGATGCCCATTATTGTGGGACTTGACCGACAGGAAGTAATACCACAACGGGGCGAATCCGCAGAATAGTTGAAGCGCTGGAGAGAATCCACTAGAGAATCCCAGTGGGAAGGAACATGGGACATTGCTCGATCTCCGACGAGCTCTCCATTGAGGACTCTACCTCCACACCAGCTACTTGACAGCTAAAGCGGAGATGTCTTCTATAGGGAGGAGAAAATAAGGTCGCCCGCGAAGGGACAGCTGGAGGAGCCATCACCAGTCATTATTGGCCAGCCTATTGGGACTTGAAGCTGAACGACAGATGGCGCGGGAAAGATCGCGAAGCATCCGTGGGACGAGAAGGAAGCCTTACACTTCTAATTTACATAAATAAAAACATTCGTTGAACATTTTTTTTATTTTTATTTTAACTTCTTTGTGCACCAGCAGGCTCTTCTTTTTTAAATTGCTCCAATTGATTTCGTTTCCGTTTGGCAACACGCCCAGCTGCTTGACAGTTAGACCATGCCACATGCATTGGGGGTGAACTTTGAAAACATCGGTCACCTTACAAAGAATAAGATTTTTCGACTAGTTAAACTCTTAGCCAATCTGAGTACTAGGCTATAAGAAATACACGCGCTAGAAAAAGATGGGAAATATTTGCTACAACTCCTTCAGTGGAAAATCGGACCACACAAGCAAATCAATTCAAAATTCTAGTGTTTTTACTCAGCATTTTTTACAAGAAGAATTGTATGCGAGGAAGGTGTTATAAATATTTAAAGGGTTCAAACGGTTCTAACTTGTGCAAATTCTCGTGGTGTCACTGCTGACAATAGTCCACAATAGTCCTGAATAAAAATCTCTTCCTTGATCAATTTGCTAAAAGCAATAAAATAATAATATGGCGCTGAAAACATACCACATGGTATTTCGTTTTGCGGTATTTTGAATTTCTTCGCAGACTAAATATGCACGTCTTCTTCGGATACGGTTTGCTTATCCCGATCAGCTGTTCGCTTCTGCGATTCTCTATGTGAATTTAACACTTGGGGCAAACAGCGTCTTCGTGGCCGAGTATGTCGACAGGGATCTGGAATCTACCTTAAGGGTTTGCCGTTCCGAAAATTTTTCAATTATTCCACTATTCAAATTTGCAACTCTGAATTGAAAATTGAAACATTGAAAATTGATAACGTAAGCAATGATAACAGGGAACATTTGAAAATGGAATGCGCCGAGGCAACATACATGATTTGATAAGCCACAGCTGTGCAGATCAGCTCATATTGAATGGTAGATGGTGGATGTGCTCTGCAGGAAGTCGGAGCTTTACTTCTTGTCAAAAATCCCAACGGTTTTCAACGGATGGACTCTTTGGGAAAAGAGTATAAGCCAATAGCCCCAAAACTCCATAACTCCACCTTAGTGTAAACAGGCTTTAAGTAGAATGAAACGATGAAACGACACAATAACGAAAACTTTTCGAAAACCGAAGCACATAAAAAGCGGTTTCAAAGCTTCTTACAGGTGAAAAATGCATTAATGTAAAACGGACCAATTTCCGGAAAATGTGATCAATTTTCTCGGAAAATACGGCCCGATAACTTAGAATATCGATGTTTAATAGGGGCGATAGACCGAGAACAAAATCGCCGCTCGATATCGAAGTACTAGGGAGCCCGATTGATCCAGACACCTTTTGACATCGATTTCAACTTGTTTTAGGCTCGAAGTGACAAAACATCTTAAAAATTTTTTGAGTTCAGTTAAGTTCTCCCCAGCGATTTTTCAAGCTTGTGTAAGATGTTTACAGTGGATGCCGGTGCAGAATCAGTAGTACCAAACGAGACTCCAGTAAATAGCCAGTAAGTAAATGGCAATCCTGGCCACAAAAAACAGGATGATTTTTAGCTTAAGACTTATTGGCACATGTGACACATGAAATACACAAGATACGATAATCTATCACCGATGTATAATGCAGATTCCACGAGCAGAAGCTGGTGGAGCACTTTTGCCGGCAGACGCAGCTGCTGAAGCTGGTCGAGGGCTCCTCTGGCCGGTTTGTGGCGAACTATAGAAACACCCGGCGGCCGGAGGACCTGCTGGCCCCCATCCAGTTGCGTCTCGACTTCGACTACGTACGCCTGCTCGAGATCTCGCCCAAACTGCTACAGCTGATCGTCGAAGAACCGCTGCAGTTCCAGGAGGCCGTCCGGTACTCCGTTTACGGCCTGGTCAGGCAACATCTCAAGGACGCCGGCCTGAAACCCATCGATATCAACCAGCTGCACGCCCATTGGCGCCTGGTGGGCCTGCCCCTCAGCCCGGGCCTCCAGTTCGAGCCTCGGGATCAGTCGCTGCGCCTGGGCTTGTCCCAGGTTCAGGGCATCCTGGCCGCCTACACGCCGCAGGAGACACTGGTGTCAGTTCCTTAGTTTACACCTGTCCTGGCAGAGAATAGCACAAGTACCCAAAACCAGTCTGTCTGCTTGTCGTTAACTCTAGTCTCCTGGTTTTTCAGTTTCCTAGATTCTTTCTATCAAAATTCTTAAGCTATGTAGTATCTATCATATAAAATGGTTTAAAGGTCCTTTGGAATTTAAGTTTTGAGTTTTTAAACTAACCGCATTATATTTATTTTACCTTTCCATACTTCCTAAGTCGAATTCTATTTAACTATTCCATGCTTCGTCAAATTCTATTATAAATTTATAAGTTTTATTTTTGGTAGTATTGAAAACTAATCAAAATACTTTGGTTATTGGGAAGATTATTTTTTATATATTATTTTAAAACCTACTAACCGAATATGAACTTTTATTTTATTTCATTTTATTTTCTTTTTTTTTTATTTTATTTTTATTTTTCTTAATTATAAAACTCTAAGCTGCTCTGCTAGAAAGTATCAAGCTTAGCTAACCGAAGAATCACACTTATTTTTTATGATTTTCCACATACAGCCTGCAATCGATTTGGTACTGCGGCAGCGGCTGTATGCGCAATGCCATACAGACCAGCTCAACGGATGGTATGTCCTATAGGCTAGGATCTCACAGAAATCCCAACCAAGCATAGTAACCACATTGCGACAAAATTAATAATCCGTCATTTGTGCACTCCAACAACCACCATTGGCATTACCACTTTCCAAAATTTTCCACAGAATCCATCAAATTATTCCTATACCATTATTGGCACGACCCATTCCATATATGTACTTCCCACAGAATTCTGTAGAATATCTGTTTGGTGACGGTTTCTAATTCCTTCTGTTTATATCTCCAACAACCACCATTGGCGTTACCACTTTCCAAAATTTTCCACAGAATCCATCAAATTATTCCTATACCATTATTGGCACGTCACATTCCATATATGTACTTCCCACAGAATTCTGTAGAATATCTGTTTGGTGACGGTTTCTAATTCCTTCTGTTTATATCTTTCAGCTCCCTTGTGTTCAGGCTGCTCGCGGCCCATGAGTGAATACCAAAAGTTGCGCGTCACCGAATCCTATCGAATCCTGGCCATCCTGCCCAGTTCTGCAGTACAAACACCCCGAATCAAGGGCTGCCTACATCGCCCTAAACTTATCCGCCTAAGAGGTGAGTTATTCTGATATTCTGATTGCCAGGGGAATAAAAAAAGCAAACGTATGTGGGGTTAGTTTTCTAGGCTATAGGAAGTATAATTATACGTATGTTATATTTCGCATTCTTTTATTGATAAATTCATTTTAATCATTATAAAACTAATAATAACACTGATCTTAAACAAAATCCGACACTAAACACTACAATATCTGAAAGGATTTAACCTGTAGATTACAACCCCAAACTTAAAAACTTTAAACATATTAAGAAAAATTTAAGAAAATCGTCGACAGTATTACATTTGATTTTGTCACTTTTTTCAATTATAGTAGCCTCATATTTTCCTTGTTTAGGCCTAGTATTCAACCTAACAGAAAGTAGTCCAAAAACCAAAAACTTCATATAAAAAAAACGTCACAACATTTTTGTGACGTTTTTTGCATATACAATTTTTGGTTTTGGACGACTTTTTGTTAGGTTGAATACTAGGCCTAAAGCTGGACCCACAGAATACATGGTGGAAAATGTGACAAACAACTTTTTTAATTTATCATTTATAAAAAAACGGAGTTCCCACAAAAATGACTGGTAATTGTTGAAGTTAAAGGTCAAAGTACCATATTAGCTAAATTCTGGTGGTGGATTATTAATGATTTACCTATTATTAAGCTGTAAAAAAATGTCTAGAGTCAAAATATTGGTACTTTGACCACGATTTCCTCAAAACTGTGACGCGATAAAAATTTTTTCGAATTTTGGGGTAGTAATCTACAAGTAAAATCTTTTCAGATTTTGTAGCGTTTAGTCTAAGGCCAAGAAAAAGTCCGGATTTTTTCGACCTGTGTAATTAAGTCCGAAAAATTATTTAAAGCAAGGCATAAATAAATAAGACACTTGCATTACCTTACTTAACCAATTTTTTATTTGTGAGTGAAAAAAGAAAATTAAAGCACCCATGAGTGTAAATAAATCCGAATATAATAAAACAAAGCAATCATTTGATTTATGTCAAACCAATCAAGACACAATCGAAATATTTTCTAGACATGTTACTTTACTAAAAAAAATTGTTCCTTGCGTTTCAAAATTGATTCAATTCCTTCTAAAAGCTCACGCCCACGACTGTGAATTAAAGTTAGGATCAAGCTATCTCATTACTGGCTACTTCACTGGATCGTCGACCACCTATCAACTGGAAGCATGCCATCTAAGAGGCATCTAGAGAAGAGAGGCCGTCGTCGCCGCAATGCCGTTCAGCTCAATGATTTCTTGCGCGGCGATGACGAGCAGCTCCAAGAAACAACACCTTCTTCTAATCAGTCCCAGTTCCATAGCAATGAATCCAATGGAAACGCTCATAATGCAAGCTCCATAGGGTAAGATTCCTAGTTTGTTTAAGTAGTTACAGATATCTGCGAATATACATATGTTTGTCCTAATTCCTAATTCCTAGCACCATTCCATTGAGCGGCCTTGTCGAGAGCGATGTGACTCCTGTTGTGACCACACAACAGAGCGAAGATCAGGAGAAGGCATCTCCTCCAGTGCAGCAACATGCTTTAAAACCAACTATCAACGTCTGGCTCTCGGCTGTGGAAAACACCCAGCCCGAGGCCAACTATAACGTGGATGCTGAGGAGTATCCGGATTTGGGAAAGCGTTCGAAGAGATGTAAGCAACCGACGCCGCCCTTGACAAATTCAAATGATGGTGGAGTCATCTCTTCGCCAAATATTGCTCAGCGCCTTCGAGGACGTCGCTACCGCATAATCGATCCGCCAGTTCTGGCCAACTTCCTGCCGGAAGCCGTACTTCCGTCAGTGGCCAGCAACAAGCAGCAAACTGTAGCCAAGAGGGTGGCTTTAGTGCGTCCTGGTGACAACGATCAGACACTTGATTCTACTACAAGCAAGATTAGTCTGCTGAAAAGGGATTCTGCCCAGCCGCACGAGCGAAATGATGGTCATTCCCCTCAGAAGGAGAGGAAAAATCTACCCAAAACTAAAGAGCACAATACTCCTGTTGCTTCCTTAGAGCAACAGAAAGCTATTGATACTACCAATCAGCAGCAGCAAAAGACTCCCAACAAAGTCCAACAGCAGCAGGGAAAGGGTTCAGCCAGTCCTTCACTAAAGCAACAGAAAAGTCCTACAAATTCTATTTGGGAGCAGCCGAGGAGCTCGGAAAATGCTGGCCTGCAGAAGCAGAAAAGTCAAGGAAAGTCTTCCCAACAGCAGCAAGTCAGCAAGAAGCCTGCTGGTTATCCAGTTCAGCAACAGCAGAAGAGTCCTGGACCTAGTTCTCAGCGACAGCAGCAGAATCAGCAGCAAAAGTCTCCTAGCAAACTTTCTCAGGGACAGCAGAAAAACCCTGTGGGTCCAGCCAAGCAGCAGCACCAGCAGCAGAAGACTCTTGGCAATCCTTTGGAGCAGCAGAAGACTCCCGGCAACCCTTTGGAGCAGCAGCATAAGTCTTCTGGCAAGCCTTTGGAGCAGCAGCAAACGAAGTCTTCTGTCAATCCTTTGCAACAGCAGCAAAAGACTTCAGGGATTCCATTGCAGCAGCAGCAGCAGAAGACGTCTGGCAATATATTGCACCAGCAGCCGACATCTTCTGGCAATCTTTTGCAGCAACAGCCTAAGTCTCCTCGCGATTCCATGCAGCAACAGCCAAAGTCTCCTTTGCAGCAGCCACAGCAGTCTACTGGCAATCAAATACAACAGCAGCAGAAGTCTTCTGGCAATCATTTGCAGCAGCCACAGAAGTCTACTAGCAATCACATGCAACAACAGCCGACGTCTTCTGGCCATAAATTGAAGCAACAGCCGAAGTCACCTCGCAATCCCATGCAGCAACAGCCGAAATCTCCTCGCAATCCTTTACAGCAGCCTCAGAAGTCTACAGGCAATCACATGCAAGAGCAGCCGACGACTTCTGGCAATCATTTGCACCAGCAGCCAAAGTCTGGTTTACAGCAGCGTCAGAAGAGTCCTGCAAAGTCATTGCAACAGCAACAGAAAGGTCCTGGAAGTTCTGCCCAGCAGCAACATCAGAGGAGTCCTGTCAGGCAGCAGCAACAGCAGCAACCAAAGAGTTCCGGCAATACCATCCGCCAGCAACCAAAGAGTCCTGCAAAGACACCACGTGATGACGAAAACGTTGCTTCGATACCAGTCCCCGTCTTCACCGATCAGCCCATCCAGCAGCAAACTCCATTTCCGGGTAGCAACAGCGCCGGTTATGAGGACGACGACGTGATACCGCCGACACCGATGTACCAAAGTCAAAGACTCATGTCGTGGAGATTTCCGCGCAGCAACAATAACCTACGGTTGGTCCGCAGCCTTCAGTCGATGAGTCAACAGTTTATGCAGTCCTCGCCGGAGGAATCGCAGGAGGACCAGGCAGTGCCGCGCCAGCTGCAGACATATGTGCAGCAGCAGATGAGCCCGCAGCAGGTCAAGCGCCTGCCAGGAAACCAGCCACTCCGTCACATCCGACAGTTAGCCATGCGCAGCAGCTTGAACTGCAACGCTCAGGAGTTCCGGCCAAGGGAGCATCGTGTGGCCGGTGGATCGAATCAGCAGTCGCAAATGGCCTTGGGAGGGCCAGGAGAAAGGGAGGAAGTACAACGACGACAACGTCGCCCGTCCAGAATGAGCGTAAGTTGTAGTGCACATAAGAATCCTGTTGTAAACATTTTCCCTTCGAAACGACAGAGAAGACGCCGTCGCCAGCGATTTCTGCGTTCCTTGCATAATAATTCATCGCATCTGTTGCCCACGCGCACACCGAGTGTTGGACTGCTGCCCACACCCATGATTCAGCCCAGGTGCAACTGCAGTGCGCCGCCTTTGGCCCCAGTTTACCATTATGCTCCTGCAACTGCAACGCAACAGCAAACTCTAATGCAACCCCAAACGCAATCGCTGCCGCAACCTGTTATTCAAACCCTTCCACAATCCATCCCGCAATCCCAACTCCAATACCAGCCCCAGTCGCAACTACAACTAATGCCCCAAGCGCAGGTCGAAGTACAACCATCAGGCAGCGTACCAATCCAAGTCATGGTACCACCAGAAACGATCAAGGTAAATGCCGGCAGCAATCCGCCGCCCTTAATTTTCTACAATCCCCAGTCGGGGAATATTTGGGGCCACCCGACACCACAGCTTCCCATCGAAATACAGAGCAGGAATGCCAGCCAGTCGGTTTTTCGGCTTGCCAGCCTCCCTTGCACTGGTGTGGGCACCCCCAATACGGATTTCTTTACGGGATGGTCCACCCCCAGCCCGCCCCACCACAGCCCGAGCTGCCTACCGTCCAGTATTTCCGGCCCGAGCCAGTTGCAGTGGTCCCATACCCTCAGTTCGCCCCCGCTGGTGGAGGACCAGCAGCAGCTGCAGGAGGAGCCGCTAGATTCGAGTATCTACCAGGACGAGGACCTTATGTACACCAGGCCCCTATTGGATATGGACCGAGAGGATACCCAGTCGGAGGAGGGAGAGGAAGAGGAGGAGTACCAGGCGTACCAGGATCTCCAGGAATGGGAGTACGGATCGGGGTGTCAGTCGGAGTCGGAGTTACAGGCCTCTCAGCCGCCGCTCGTCGACGGGCCTCACGGCAATCCAAACGCCGTCGTCGTTGAGGACACAGGAGCACCGTTTGAGCGTCACCAGATATTCCGTGCCCCATCACAGCAAGGTCAGGAGTATCCCAAGCCAGATTTGAACTGCGTGCCGTCCAGCATTAAGAAGCTATATCACCTGATTTCATCGCAATATTCCGACTACTCATTTGTCTACGCACTGAGTGCTCAGCTCAGCCAAGATTGCGTGCCCATGGATTGCTACGTTTACCTGAAGATGGTGCTGCTGGCCAGCATTGTTTCGATTGAAACCGAGGAGGTACGGGCTCCGATTGCGCTGTGCATCATCGCCACCGACAGCCTAATTGCTAATCACCTCATGAACAAAGTGGGCCAACTGGCTCCACGTTTCCTAGGGCCACACGACTATGGTTTGCACCCGACCTTCAGTGCCCTGCCCACGCGTTTCAACTGGGTGGTGGCCTGTCCCTTGCTGATGGCCCAGCAGGGTGTTTATTATGTGGGGGACTGGTCTCGCCTCACCAAGGATCAGGGATGCCAGCTGGAGAAGTGCATTGAAAACGGAGCAGTGCCAGTGCCTCAGCTGCAAATTGATCAGCCCTTGGAAGCAGCCGTCTGGACGCAGTGGCAGCCGGATAACTCCAGCAATCAGACCCAAGTCCTCTCCAAATTGTGCCCGTAAGGAGAAAACTTTAAAATTCGCTTGTAAAATAATATTATTTAACTTGATAAATGTTCCAGAATATTCGGGCTGCCCATTTACATGGGTGATCATGCCAGCGAGAGCCTGTGGAACTTAATAATCCACCAGCACAGCGCAGAGGGACAACATACTGTAAACGATGGCTTAAACATTCACGAGGAGGACATGCGTATGCTTATCCATCTGTTGCACCAGCGCAAAACCACCTTCAGCGATGGAGCCCAGCAGATGCTGCAAAAGTACTATGTGATCTCCAGGAAAGAGCGACCAAGTAAGTCGATCAAAGGAAGACATACTGAGGATTTGCGTTTATTTGCTGTGCTCTTCTAATTGGCGACAACTCTTCTTTCCAGCTGTCTTCTCCAGCAAGACGTACATTGTGCTTAAGCAATTCGCTGAATCATTTGCCAAACTGGCCCTCCGACTGGAGGTCCTTGAATCCGACGTTTGTGTGGCGATCTTCCACTGCGAGCACTTTGTGCAGCGTGTTTTCGGGACCAACGAGCATCTTGCTCCGCCGGCGGTGATCACCTTCAATGTGATCGCCCGCATCGATCCGTACATGAACGAGTTCGCACGCTGGCTGCTTCAGTATCTGGATCGCTACGAGGACGAGGACCTGGGAATACAGCCGGACAAGCGGCGACGCACCGATAGCTGGGACATGCCCTAAGCAGTTGGAGGAAAATGCTATACTCTTTAGTACTACTTGTAGATTTATGACCTGTGCTCACTGAAACATTTTGAATACTGTTTTGTAGATTTATACACATGAATTTACAACATTTGTGTTTGTAAACAAAATCGGCCCTGGGCCCAGACAATACTACCTCGAATGTATTCACTATTTACGTAAAACGAACTGCCTGAAACGTTCTCAAGCAACGTCAAAATTTATAAACATCAATTTTCCACACCTTTCCACTTGATTCATTCGGTATATGTTTTGTGTATATCGCCTAGCGATCGCGGATAGCTCTTAAAGTTCTGTGCGCGATAATCAAAAGCCATCGTTTGAATATTCTTGTATCGGTCTGTTAATCGCTATTATTCATCCCATTTTTTTTTGTCATCTTTCGGAAAACTTGAAAAACACTTCAAAATTATATTTGGTATAAATATGTAAATTAAATGTGTGGCCAAGAGAATACATTCTTTTTATTAATAGATCTATATATTAGTAATGTGATAACGGAGAATGTTTCTCTGAAAAAATGCAAACCTGATATTAGCTTTAATACAAGCTGTGAATAGTTGTTAAAGCCCTTCTATTTGTAAAGGGCTACAAAATTTTTTTGGAAAAATATTTAAATTAAATGTGTAACCAAGAGTATACATAGACCCTAGATATTATATAATGTGATAACGGAGAATATTTCTCAGGATATATTAGAACCTGATATTAACTTGCTGTGAATAGTTCTTAAATTTTTTTTTTATATATCTATAGATTTAAGTTCTTTAAAAAAGGAAAGAATGGACTGCCTTGTGGAAAATATTATTAATTTAAAAAATAGCACACACAGATATTGGTTTAAAACAATATAACAAAATCATTTATTTTTTTTGACAAAATGGCTTTTTACTTCATAAAGTCTTTTGAATAGTTTCTCGCTTTTTCTATTAATATTTAGTTATGTAATTTTTTAATTGGTTTAATCAGTCTAACTTTTTTAGTGTACTTTAAATTTCCCAATTCATTAGAAAATGAAATCAAATTTTGTAGAAACAAAATATTAATTTAAGATCTTTTTTTTTTACCTTTTTTAAGACACCAAAACTGTTTTTTTTTTTAAACTTCTTAATCAAATAAAACTCATTTGTTTATCTAAAAAACAATTATTTTTATTAACTAGCTTGTATTGTTACACATATTTATAGCTATTGCTTAGAATTAGTTTCATGTTTCTCAGTTTCTGTTTTGCTTTTGATTATCCTTTCCAGCTGCCTGAGCAAATCGTTCAATTCAGTTTTAGTCTTGGGCGTAGTGATGGGCAAATAGTTTGTCCCCATACTCTCGATCTGATTCTTCCAATTATACATTTATCAAAATATATGGTATATTTTTTATAAAATATAATAGGCATACACAATTATAAAGTTAATAGGTAAATTCACGATGAAACTTCAAGTGTTCAGGAGTCATTTTGGTTGTTACATTTAAATCGTTATACAATTTGTATATATGTATATCGTTATAGTCTAGTGTTTATGATATATATGCGATCGTATAGATGTTTGACCAATAATAGCAGGGCTCCAAAAAAAAGAAACAAAAGAAAAAATAAGAATTCAGCAATATAGGGGCACTGCAACTATTGGTCAAAGCACTATAAGTATATCCATATGATTAGGATTTAAAATGGCGGTGTTAGTAGCATGGGGCTGTCCTTGATTTACATTCATTTCTAAACCTAGCGATAGAAAAATAGTTCTTAACAAGAATATGACAAAGTAAAATGTACATACATTATATAGTTCTATAAAAAAATACGTTCTTGACTTTGGTCCAGTACTGAAATCTCGGATTTCGTTAGTTCGCCAAAATAAGAGAAAGTTATAGGTTTCTTTGCCCATTTGGTGGTGAGCAATTGTTTTTTGGTCTTACATGGCTACTGGTTTCTTTTCTTTCTTTGTTATAGTTATTTGAGCTTATAAATTAAAAAAATGTTTCCCATTTAATGCTGAGACTGTGCACTGGGCTGAAGGGTTTTGGAGTCCTCCGCTGGATCCTCTAATAGTCCAGGTTACCCTGGGCCCCAGTGATGATGGCATCGATCCAAATACGGGCCGCCGAATCGGATGCGGCCTGCAGATTGTAGCTTCGCTTCTTTGTTTTGACAATGAAAGTGCAATGTGGACGTCCGCTCTTCGAGGCATTTAAGTGATCCAGATAGACCTCGTCGATGGTCTGTAAATAGCAAAAATAAAATAGTTTAGTTAAAATACTTTATAAAATATAAATTTGGATAAGTAATGAATATATGGTGCTTGAAATATTTGTAAAAAATAGATATTTACAAAAAAGTTTTAACTATTGCCATTTTAAGACTTAGGAATCTTAAAAATAGACCTAATATTTGGGGCTTGTATGAAAAAGAATTAATGTTTAATTTTATTTGTAATAAAGAAATATTTTTAAAAAAGGTTTAACCATTTCCATGAAGTAAATTTAGTTATGAGAAGTAGCGATCCTAAAATCAGTACAGTATTTGGAGCTAGATTTGTTCTTATTGAGGACTTTGAAAGGTATATTTTGGTCATACTCACATTAAAGTTAGTATGAAAAACAATTAATATACGGGTTTTAAATATTTGTAATAAAAAAAATTTACTCAACATGTTTAATAGTTTCCATTAAACAATTGTAGCAATGAGATGTAGCGATCTTTAAAATAGTATCGTATATGAGGCTTGATTAATGGGGATTGATTATTGTTTGGGGACTTTGAAAGGTATATTTTGGCCATACTCACTGGAAAGTAAGTATTGAAAACCATTAATGTACGAGGATCAAAATTTAGTTTAATTTTGTTGTAATAAACAAATATTTTCTAAAGCTTGAACTGTTTCTATGAAGTTAATTTAGTTATGAGAAGGTAACGATCCTTAAAATAGTATAGTATGTGGGGCTTGATTTGTTCTTATTGTTTAGGGACTTTGAAAGGTATATTTTGATCAAACTCACTGCAAAGTAAGCGCCGCCCCTTGGTTTCCTCTCCGACTTATCAGAGTAGTATATCAATGCGCTCCTCTGGCGATCCAGGACAAACCAGCGCCTCGACCAGGCATGAAACGTGGCTCCCAGCTTGTGGAGGTAACTAAAAAATGAAGATTTTATTTAGTGGTTACCGAGATATAGAGGGGAAATCTTAAAAATTACCCGCGACAACTGTGCGCATCCACAAAGACATGCGGACACAGATCGATCTGGTGGCCGGCGGTCTCGATGTGATGGCGCAGATTCAGATCCGGCGAGAAGATGGGCAGGTAGCGGGTGAGCGGGCGCTGGTGCTTCGGCAGGATGCGCTTCCGTTCGCTGGCGGTGCTTCCGCCGCTGCCGCTGTTCCCACTTCCGCTGCCCGCCGAAGCCGTATCCTGTGAATTGCTGCTGGCCCGCTTGTTATCCACCGTCGCCGGCGACAAGGAGGAGGAGTCCATTCCATTGCCAAACTTGGGCGCCTCGATTGTTGCATCGCAATTGTTGGCCTCGGAGAGCGGGCGCGGACTACGGACTACCATTTGGCCACCACCGACTCCTCCTCCTCCTCCTCCTCCGCCACCTCCTACGCCCAGGGCAATGGCATGGTGCTCCAATTCTGGTTGCGAATGGCGTTGCTGAAATGGTTAAGGAAAATCAATTTTTAATATGCTTTCACTGCTTTGTATTTCTGCTAAAAATAATATTTGGTCAATCAATTTTAAATAGCCTTAGCATGTCGTATACTTTTCAAATAACCCCTAAAAGCAAGCTTATTTTACGATTAAATTGTACATTATTTTTAAATTTGTTTGTTTTCTGTCTACACTTGTGAAGAATTTTTTATGTGTATTTGTAAACACACCATTTAAATTTTGTAATATTCTTTCTTCAAAATGCGTATTGCATTTAAATACAGTTCAAATATTTTTTACATACACATTATTTTGAATTTCGAATATGTAATATTTTTGCCAGTCCTAAATTTTACATAAATAGTAGGATATCTTCACATTTAAGTGGTACATATATTGCAAAAAATAGTTCGTCAACACTTGAAGCAAATATGTTGAAATAGATTTGTGAGGGAAATTAACAAAATGTAGATTTTTAATTATTTTGGTTACACTTGGGTTAAAACTGGTTAAAACTTTGTTTTTACAATTGATTTAATTTTTAATCCATGATGTGTTCGAAAAACGGTAGAAGCACCTTTAAAAAAAGGGTTCGAAACCCCTACACATTTTTTTCTAAATAAGCATTTTATTAACACTTAAAATAAACATGTTGAAACAGATTTATCTTGAAAATTTAAAAAGAAAAGTCGATTTCAGAATTATTTATGTTACACTTGGCGGTAAAAATGGAAAATCAGCACTAAAAACTAGTAGGAAAATATTTGTTTTTGCAATTGATTTAATTTTTTTATCCGTGATGAACGTGAAAAATGTTAGAGGCGCCTTTAAAAATAGAGTTCGAATACCGCGCACATTTTTTACTAAATTAATATTTTATCAACACTTAAAACAAAACATGTTGAAATAAATTTATGTGAGAAAATGAAAAGAAAATTAGATTTCAAAATTATTTTTGTTACACTAGGCGGTAAATATAGAAAATCAGCACCTAAAACTATTAGGATTTAATTTTTTAATCCATGATGTATTTGAAAAATGGAGTTTCCAACTTCATTCACTAGATAAAGATTTAAGATATTCTAGAGGCGTGTTCAAAAATAGAGTTCAAAAACTGTACACCTTATTTCTAAATCACAGGCTTTCTTTTCCCAACTCCACTCACTAGATAGTACAGCTCATTGCGCTGGCGTGCATTGGCATCCGTGCGTCGATGCTGCACATAGGTCATCCACACGGACATATCGAACGAAAATGGGCGGAAAAACCGGATGGGGAATATTCTTGAAAATCACTTGCGCTTCCAGTGGAAATGGGCAACTAACTAAGCGATTTTCCGACAAACGCAGATGATGGGGGGCGGCCGACTTGCGACTCTCGACTTTCAGACTATCCGTCGGATCGCGAATGGGGCGCGCACATGAACATTGTCCAGCAGCCGGAGGATCGAGAAACAGAACCAGATCGAGGTAATTATACCCGTAATGGGCCGCGGATTTTTGTGGCCAATGAACGGGAGAAGATAACGATGGCCAGTCTATTGGCGAGATCGGAAAACGTGTAAACAAATGGTCTAAAAATCGAGGTAGAACGTATGTAAACACGGTCCAAAAAATAAAAGATACGAAGCACACACGTAACGCGCTGGCAAGAGAGAGCCGCCAAATGGACAACCAAAATAAAACAAAGACCATAGCAAATATTAAACTTATTAATAAGTGTAGTCCATATAGAATCCGCAATTGAGAGCACGGCGAGGTGGTGGGGTGGCTCTTTTAAAATAAACACTGGCTAAAATAAAACAGCAAGCGGAATGCCGAGGCGGCCAACAACTCGTGACTAACGAGCTGGCGATAGATTTGATCGTCATCCAGGAGGATGAAAGAGGTGCACTCGAAAAAAGTATTCCATTTAAGGCAAAAACGGCAATGGATTCACTCAAAACGAAACCCACAATAGTGGTTTTAAATCATTTTTTAGGACCAAAATATGGGACACTTGGCATTACTTATCTAGAATATATATGTAATACTTTTACCCTTAATTAAAAAAAATGTATAACAACATGTAGTAAGCTACTTAACACTTCCCAAAATCAATAATATATTTTAAAAGGTTATAATATTATCGAAATATTTATTATTTACATTTTTTTTTAGTGCATGGCAAAGAGAAATATGCTTTCTAAAATTACGCACAGGATCGCACTCTTACTCCCACTATATCTCTTACTCTTAACCTAATTCTTTAAAGCTCTTGGCACTTATGTCTTCAAGATCGTGTGATCTTGAAAACCGAATCATAAATAATAGGGTAGTTCAGTGTTAATAGGTTAAGCAAATATTGCAAAATACTAAGTGAATAAATCAAATTAAAAATCATGAAATCAGTTCTGCACTAATATTAAAAAAATTACAAACCAACCATCAAAAATCGTAAACTTTGCATAAACAAAAACAGAACTATAATGAATGGATGTCTAAATCATTGAAAGGGGGATTTTCTGAGGAACTCACAGCAAAACAAAAAACATTACTCAGAGAATTCCCTGAAAGCTTCGAAAGCAATTCATCAAATATATTTTTATTTTTCCCATTTACAAATGGTAATGTTCCAAAAAATGATTGTGCATAAAAAATACATCAACGATAACAAACTAAAAGGTGTTTATAATAAAATTTAAATGGTGATTCATTTTTAAATACTTCCAGAAAACGATAAGACGTAAAAATTGTATCCAAACGGAAGTAAAGTCCGTAGGGTAATTCGTATATAATATAAAATATATTTGTTTTTAAACGCAAAAATATGTTGACTATTACTTTAATAGAACCAGCAAAAATAAATCCTTTTGTTTTAAAGCTTTATGATTTTATTGTGAGCTTTTTATATACTACTTAAGTGGCAATAATTTAGTAGCTCGTAAAGAAATTAGCAGATAATTCTGAAGAACTGTAATCTATAAGATACTCATCAGGAATTTTTCAATTAGCAATTCAGTGAATTCCAATCAAGGCAAACTTAAACCACCTCAAGGTAAAAATCACACTTGTAGTCATCATGTAGTCATTATGGGTTATCAGCCCTATTTCTGGATCCATTTATTTACATTATTTCGTTATCTGAGCGGAGGTGTTCTAATAAACCCCACAAAAATGCACACGTTGCCTTATCGCAATTGTAAACCCCATACGCAGTGCACTTTGCCATCTGTGTACTTTAAAACACTTACTATAGGAAAATTAGTACTAGGCAATTATAAGCAGATTATTAGCAATTAGAAATTGATTCAATCGTTATTAAATCTTTAATCTTTAAGTTTAGGTTATCAGATCAACAGCAATTATTTTGAAAATCAAAAAACCCGTCATGGGAAATTAATAGAAGCATTAATCAATGGTTCTGTGGAATTACAAATTAATCAAGCTCTTCACAAAATACGATTTGTTTATGGTCAGAAAGGAAATGGCTCGTAAAATGGTGGGTGTGCAAATGGATGGGGTCACTGGCAATTGCGTTTAAAACGCCGAAAGTTTCGAAAATTTCCCGGAAAGCGTGGAAAAAATATTACAATAACAAACAGTTTGAAAAGCTTTCGTTTTGTTTGGCCTAGGTCATCAATTTCGCGTTGGGGTCAAGTTTTAAATTTATTTTCCGACTTTTCTGCTCACCTGTTGAGGTGTCGTTCCAGTTGTTGTTGCTGTTGTGGGACTGCTGCCGGTGGATTTTCTGTTCTGCACATTGTTCTCCTTATCGCCACCGGTTTTTTGCACCTGGTCAACCACTGTGTCACCTGGTTTTTGATTGAGCTTTTGCATCTCGGTCTTTTCGAATAATTTCGCATCTTTGCCGCCGCTGCAAAAAATAAGAGAAATTCACAGAATAAATATGTGTTATATGGAAAAATAAACGGCTATATATTAAATAAAATTTTGGCTAAGGGAGGGTTTTGAGTATTAAAAATATAACTCAGCATATGAAAGTAATTATGAAATCACAGTTAATATTGGTTATGGAATCACAGTTGATATGGTTGACTTTTGGTTTATTACAAACTCAAAATAATCATATATTATCATAATTAGATGGACAATTTTATGAACAAATTAAATCTTGTTGGATATATTTTGGATTTCTTATCACAAATCACTAATATAGTACGTATTTTTACTATATATTGTATGGTAATAAATTTATCAAGAATTTTTCACCATGTATTAAGCATAATACAGCCACTAGCTAATAAAGCTTTATGGGTTTTCTTGTACGTATATTTTCCATCACAACCACTGTCATTCGTTTTCCTTATAATTTGATCATCATACCAGCAGGGAATCATCGCGTTGATCCGATACATTGTTTATTTAGAATGACTCATTCCCGGGGGGACTTCGATTCCCGATTCCGATTCCGATTTCGGTAACGCTTGAGTTCCAACTGCAAAACCGAAAGCCGAAAAAAAACTGACTAAGCGGGCGGACGGAATGGATGTGAATGCACAATCCGAAAGCAACAGTTGGCACACAATCCAACGATTCGGACTCATAGATACTCTGGCGAACGCACACTGTCATAGGCAATCAGCTGATAAGCTTATCAGCAACGGTGCACAGAGAGAAATGTTCTATATCATTGTATATATAATTTATATAAAAAAAAAAAATACATATCCTAATAAAAAACCAAAACTTTTCGGCTTAATAATTTATATCCCTAAGAGATTTTTATAAAAAAAATTTATATTATTAAAAAAAATTAATTTAAAAATCTGTAATTATTTTTCCTAACTGCTAGTCAATGCATTTTAATTTATACAATACTACTTTAATCTCAATTTCAAATTTACACTTTACAACAAACTAAAACCCTATCGTTTATAAAAACTTCAACAGATTTTTTTCTGTGTATGGAAAAAATTGCAAGCACTTCCCAGCGCAAATAAACCCAGAAAACTAAAGAAAATAAATCAAAAGAAAAGCTACTCAGGTGACGTCGCCGTTCGATCGGCAAATGAGCACTAAAATAAAACTCCAATCGGTGGAAGTTTATTGTTTGCCCAGACGATTGTCGTCGCGGCCTCTATTGATTTTGGTGTGTATTTATTGTTTGGTTTTTCAATTCAAATTTCAAAGTGATTTGGTAACCGGTTTTCAAGGGGTGGAGTGGTGGGCACACATTGTTTAGCTATTAGCCACAAAGTTTGATTAATTGTAGAGGCGCGAGTTCAATGAGTAAACCAAAAGGCATTTTAACCTTACACTGGGCAACAAACTTTGAGTGTTTCTCCCTAGGCAAAAATGTACTTTAATCTGCTGTCACTTTTAAGTGTAACCAGTTTAATAAATCAGAATCAATCAAGAGCTAATTCATTAAAAGCACTTGTGCTATATTTTGACTAAAAATTAATCAACAATCAATTTGCTTCAACTTTGAACAATGTGAACGATAAGATATTAAATAATTTATACCGAACAAAACAAAACTGAATGCAAATATATAGATAGGAATATTGGCATAATGCATGCCAATAAAGTTGAGATCTTAATAATACAGTCAAACCCAAAGAAATTGGTATTTAAATATTCAAATTGTTTGTTGATTCAGGAAAAAAATAAAAAAAGAATAACTAATTGCAATTAACTTATAAATTGTTTATAAAATATTAGCTTAAACTAAGAATTTCTTAGGATTTGAACTTAGGGAAGTCCCAACTTTTCTAGTTTGCTGTCTGATTCATTTCCCAACCCGACATCCCAGTGTAACTTGCACTCGAAGTGCACTTTTGTTGTCACAGTTCGGGTAATTAACTCAACGGGGAGCACATTTTCAATTAGCTGGGGAGCAGTGGCGTGGAGGGATGGGTTCCGAATGGGGGTCAACTCACTTGGCATCCGAATCCAGCAGCTGTTGCTGCTCCATCGATTGCTGGGTGGAGAGCAAATACTGGGTGCGGGCTTCGTCGTGGCTCTTCTTTTTCAGATCGTACATCTTCTGCCGCTCGTGCTCAATGACCTGATGACCTGTGAAGCATAAATAATAGTTTAAATAATTGTTTTAAAAAAAAAAAAAATGTACATTTTAAAATATTTTTTTATCTATGAAATCTATCTATCAAAAATTTATTCATGACACTAGGTAAACTTGTTCTCAGTTAAATCTTTGATATGCGTATATATGTATTTATTTATAGGACATAAATTGAACTTTTCAGTATATTTGGTTATACAAATTGCTCCAAAGAAATTGAAATCAAGAAGTATTGGTGATCAATGAACCCAATTTAAGTACCAGCATGTTTGTCAACCAAAACCAAGTGGTAACCAAATCGGTTTTAGGAACAACTGAGGCGTAGCAATACTAGTTTTTAATGTATTCTTGTCTACTTTTGCAAAACAAGAATGTTGGTTACTACGCTCTAATATAAAATGATTTGACAAAACTAATTTGGTCAGCTTTAAAAGCTGTATCTCTGATACACTTTGCAGATTCAAATAATAGACTGTTTTCCTACCCTGCTGGGCCAGCAGAAGCTTGCGATTCCTTTCGATCTCCTTGATGCTGTCGAAGATCTTGGTGCTGGCGCCCTGGCTGGTGGAGATGGGTGCATCATTGGCCACCTTGCAGCTGCGATCGATGTCGTCCTGACTGGGCACACGTCGCTCCAGCGGGTTCACCTCGAACCGATCGCCTTGCAGTGAAAGATTGAAGCTGATCTGCTCACAGCTGCCGCCACCAAGATCCTCGAAAAGTTGTAGCGGCAATCGCTTGGGCGTACTCGTGTTGGCCTCGATTTTATGATTATAGAACATATTCTCGTTTATGCTCTTCGACATCAGATCCTCTTGGTTTCGTCGCTTCGGGCAGAGCAGTTCGGCGGAGCCAAAAAGTGACTGGGACATGACGCCATTGACCAGATTGCTGCTATTGGAACCCGGCGAGGTGGGCGATCCGGGTTCCTCCTCATCCGGTCCGATTTGAATGCGCAGAGCGGCCAGTTCGGCTTCCAGGGTGAGACGCTGCTCCTGTCGCTTGAATTCCTCATGACTGGCATGATGCTCGGACTCCTCCTCGAAATACTGAAACTCCAGGTCCTCAAAAGTCTTTCTATCGCTCTCCAGGGAATCGCACACCAGCTGCAGCTCCTCCTTCAGGCAGGCATTGTTTGGTTTCTGCTTCAGCATGGCACGCAATCTGAAAAGTAAGGAATAATGTATGTAATTGAAATGTTTTTTATTTTATCCATAGGGCAGCTCACTTCTTTAACTGATCCTGCTTCATTTCGATGGACTGCTTCAGTTTGGCCTGCTGATTCTCCTCCATGACGCGAGTGGCATTCCGCTGGGCTTCCAGGCGCCGAACTCGATTCTGCAGGGCCTGCAGTTGCAAGCGTGGCGAGGCACTGGCGGCCAGGGGCTGTTCACCCAGTTCCAGCTATAAGAAAGGGGTTTACTTTCGTTAATATGATCTTGAAGGAAACCTAGTTCTGATGGATATGACAATAGCTTTAGGTTTGGGTTATACAGGCTAAACAGGTTTTCAAAGATAACAAACTTTGTTCTATTCATAAATATATAAGATTCAATAACACTGGACAAAAATATATCCTTTTAAAAGGTGCTGGCCTATGGGCACCAGGTAATGTTAATATAGATATGATATGAATGCATACTTAGTTTCCAATCCTACTAGTTGGTACTACATATTATTGATACGTGCTACCTTTACTTGGGTTTCCTTTGATGCACAAGGATTGTTCATAACTCAAACCTTAAGAAAAAGTTCTCTAAATACAGTTACATGTATGTAAAATATTTTAATTTGTACTTTTAAAAGCCTGCTCACCACATCGAATGACTTGGGAATAAAACTTGAACTACTCCTCGTAACTTTTATTTTACTTATAAATGTGATGAAAATGTGAATCTAAGCTATTTTTGATATGCGTATCAATAAAATTCAGTATCGACTGAATTTCACTTCAATTTCGTACCTTGCGTTAGGATCGAAAACTCAGTATGCATATATGCTTATATACCTCTATTTTAACATAATTTAATGCCCCATAGGCCTAAACAAAAAGCACTGTTGTGCAGTGTTATTATAATATTGAAATTAAGCTTTATCATATAAGATTGCAATTTTAAATGTGAGCTTAGTAATTCTTGCAGCCCAAAGGACTAACCTCGAGTCCCTCAATACCCGCAGAGGGCGGCAGTTCGGCCAGTTCCCGCTTGAGCTGCTTGCGCCGCTGGATGAGCTCCCGGCGCTGACGCTGCTCCAGATGGATGCTTCTCGGTGCCGGAGCTGGTTTCCTGCTCGGCTTGGGGGATTGAGTTAGTGACTCCACGGACTGCAGATTCAGAGTGAGATTATTGATGTTCTTGTTGTTCCGCTTGGCGGGCACCAGGCGATCCAGTTGCTGCTGCTTTCGCTCAAAGGATTTGAAGAGCTGCTCGTAGTCACGTTGCTGATTGGGAGCCGGTGGTTTGGGTGCCAATGGAGGCTTCACCAGGCTGGGAATGGGAATGGGTATGGGTTTGGATGCTGAGACCACAGCGTTAGATGCCTGGGGTGGTGGACTGATGGCCAGGGCAAAGGCGTTGCCAAAGGACACATCCTTTTTGGGTGACATGCAGTTGGTGCGAATCTTGGTCCTTGGACTCTGTGGCACATACTTGCCACCTGCAGTTGCCGAATTGTTCTGGTTAAGATTCTCATGGCTGGCTCTTACCGCCGCCGTGGGAGCCACTCCACTGGATAAGCCACCGCCTCCTCCTCCTCCTGCTGAAGCTGGCACATGGATTTGACCATTGATCTCCACACGATTCGGTCCCAGCAATCGCACATTCTCGTAGCCCGAGGAACTGCTCAATAGCGATATATTGGCTGTGCTGCCTGCTCCTGCTGGCTGTGGAAATGGTGACTTATTCTTGTCCCGCGGCAACGAGCCATTGGTCTTTATGCGATTCTGGACAATTGGGGATGACGTAATGCTGGATGTATTCGAAGTATTGTGTGTAGGAGCCATGGAGTTGTTTCTATCCGCGTATTCCGTGCAGATCTTTAGCATATCCTCCAGTTCGGCTCCTCCGGCATTGGAATTTTGTCCGGAAACTGGACCATTATTGATATCGCTATTCACACCATTCATGGAGTAGATCTGCAAGCCACCCGCCTTGGGATAACGATCATAGCGATCGTTATTCACTTTCGTCAGTAGATCCGAGGAGGCCAGTTGCTGCTGCTGCTCCTTGTAGATCGCCGCATTGCTGGGCACATTCCAGTAACCACTATTGCTGCCCACACCCTTGGCAAACTGATTGTTCAGCTGCTTTTCGTTGCGATGATTCTCGGCGAGATTACGGGCAAAACTGGCGTATTTCTGGCCCAAAACATCCTTGGCCGGCATGTTAACGGTGACCAAATCGGAGGAGAACACCTTGGGACACTCCAGTTCGTAGGTGGAGGGATTATTGATCGGGTTGATGATGCTCTCGTAGAAGGATTCCAGCTCCAGAGATTGACTCAGCTCGTGGGCCTGCCTCGCCGATTGTGTGAAATCGATCTGGGGCATCGAAATCCGCTCGTTGGAGCCCATTGCCGAGCGCATCATTTGCGCCTCGTCCGGATTGTTGAACCTCAGATAATTCGAGTTGCCGATCGTGATCATCGCCCCCTGGCTGAGTTTGGTCTCCTCCAGAATCGGAGCCCCGTCGATCAGCAGGCGGGAATCCTTTTCCGGAACCAGGGTCACTTCGTTGGCGTCGCTCCTGCAAAATGGTTGAAGTATAGTTAGTTATATTTTAAGCTTTAGAAATATTTATCGTAATTTATTTGACATTTTAGACTCTGTTAAAATTTTAATAATATGTAATTACTTAAAAAGCTAATTTATTTGTAATGGCATGTCATTACATTTGTAAGATTCGATTTAAGATTATTATCTTTTGGCTAAGCTACGACTGAAAAACCACTAAAAAATGAGTATATTTGACCAAAATCTAAATCCCTTATATAAAAAATGCGAAAATGGGTCAAAAAATAAATGTTTCTTAAAGTGATGGGGATCGAAAGCATTTGAAACAAGCTGTTCAAAACAGTCGGTCTTTTAGCTGTACGCCTTGATTTGGCTAAACTACGACTGAAAAACCACTAAAAAAAATTACTATTTTTGACCAAAATCTGAATCACAAAAATAACTGATGCACCCCCTTATAGAAAATGCGAAAATGGGTCAAAAAATAAATGTTTCTTAAAGTGATGGGGATCGAAAGCATTTGAAACAAGCTGCTCAAAACAGTCGGTCTTTTAGCTGTACGCCTTGATTTGGCTAAACTACGACTGAAAAACCACTAAAAAATGACTATTTTTGACCAAAATCTGAATCACAAAAATAACTGATGCACCCCCTTATAAAAAATGCGAAAATGGGTCAAAAAATAAATGTTTCTTAATGTGGTAGGGATCGAAAGCATTTGAAAAAAGCTGCTCAAAACAGTCGGTCTTTTAGCTGTACGCCTTGATTTGGTTAAACTACGACTGAAAAACCACGAAAAAATTAGTATTTTGGACCAAAATCTGAATCTTAAAAAAAACTGATGTACCCCTTTATAAAATTTTTTTTTACGATTAAGATGAATTGATTTCAGATTGATATATTATAATGGAACCAATTTTTATAATATCTTTGTTATTAAGTTATGTATTGAAAAAAGAGTTTTTCAGTATCATACTTTAATTATATGTACATATGTATATACCATCTGTAATTACTATCAATCACATGGTTTTGTTGTAGGGTATTTTAGGATATGTTAAAAAAAATCGTTATAAAAGGTTTAAAAATATTTTAAACTTGGAAGCAGAGTCTTTTAACAGGGATAATCTAGGGAATGGTGTATACATACAAGGTAAATAAAAGTTAGGCCTTAATACCTGTAGATGGTGCAGTGCAGTGGACGAACGCCACTTCCATTCAACGAGATGCTGCAACTGGCTGCCGATCCAATTGTGGTGTCACCTAAACGGAAATGCAAATAGTCAATATTACATATTTAAAACTCGGATTTAAAACCGAAAGTTTCGCGTTTGAAGTGGTTTTCGGTAATGTGAGGTTGGAATATTTCAACAGTCAGTTCAACACAATTCCTTATCTCTTTTCACATCTCTCTTTGATTTTTTGGGAACAAACAGCTTATTCTTACTTCTCTCTGTTTTGGTACAGTGGAAGGAGTAACTAATATTCAAAATAATTTTAAATCCTAAATAAAGACTTCCCTATTAAATTCAATTTTTGAAAAAATTAATTATTTAATGTCATGATTTGAGAAAACTGGAAGGAAGATTTCATAAGAATGATAAAATATTTATTGTTAGAAATCCAGTATTTATTGTGATAATCTTATTTTGTATTAAAAGACTTTGTTATTATTTAAAAAAACATTTTTTTAATTTATTTTATTTTTGATTCCAGTTTGTTTTTAAACGTATAATACTAGTATTCTTTTATCCACTAACCACTTGACAATAATGTATTTACCAAAATTATTTGATTCTTTTCAATACTTTTCATCCCATTGTAAACTTAAAAAAAAAGCTTATCACAGTTGCTCACCGTTTTTGTTGTCTTTTGTGCGTCGCTTTCGCAAGACTCTTTTCGTGTGTGCGCTTTGTTATTTCTTTATTTCGGTACTTTGCTTATCGCTTTACAAGTGACCTTGCCGGGGCAAAAAAAAAAACATAAAAAAGAAAAAGCGAGAGCAAGAGAGAGGAAAAACGCGCACGCGTGGCCGCGGCAACAAACAAATCGCAAATGACACGCGTGCGAGGGAGAGGAACGCAGCCGAGTAACGGTGCGTGTCCAGTGTACTTTTTAGAGATGGCCTCGTGACTCGATCACTTTTGCAGCGTGTCACGAATCACAGATACTTTAGATATGGAATTTATTCAATTAAATGAAATTAAAAGGGTTCCGTTTTTAACTTTACGGGAACCCCATATTTATAAAATGAAATATTTAATTCTACGAGAATAAATACTAAACTTTTCGTACGGTGGACAATAAAAAAGTTACAAATATCATCTGAAGAAATTATTTTTAATTTGTGAATTTATGTAGATCAGCATTAAAGTCATGACAAGTATTTATCATTTAGCGGTTCTAGCTAATAATATTGGTCTTTAGTATATACTTTTGATTAACTTAATACTTAAGCAATCCTGGAAAGTAGGTTAATCCTAACCAATTCCGTGTCACGAAAAGAGGTCCAACCACAGCATTGACCTGAACTCACACTCACCTATGTGTATGTAGTGGATGGTAACGGCGGTGCTCAATCTACCGCCGCCCAGAGAAACGAGATGCGGATCCGAGGCGGCGACTCTCAGCGACGGATCCTTTTTCGTCAAGGACATCTGCAAAGAGAGAAAAAGAGCGGGAATTAAAGGGGCGCTCGAATGAATACCAGGAATGCCCGTGTCATTTGGGAGTTCCATGGGCAGCTGGTCGGTAATTGTTATTGGGTTTTCTCTATGTTTTTTGTTTTTGGTTTTTGGCACACTGTTAAGGGATTTCCAGGGGTTCCCTCATTATAAATGAATGTGTTTGCGCCAGCACGTGCTCTTGAAAGGGAGAAAATTCCACAGCTGTGCTGAATTTTTAATATTTTCTACATAAAATACACGATGAAAAAATATTTACATTTCAGGTTTATGAATAAGTTCACAAGTTCTGACTATCAAAATAGTTTTTGATATTATTTAACAAATTATAAAAACTTTGTTAAGAAATGTACTATAACACAATACATAAAAAACTATTTAAAATTATTTCTAACTCTTTTTTTGGAACCAACGTTTATACTTTTCCCTTGGTTAATACCACCTGAGGCCGTTAAAATTGTTTTTCCAACTTCCGAATGATGTCATATGGAATGACTACCCCCCCTTTTTCAATCTTATTTATGACTCAAACTTACGCACTTGTAACTGATAAAGTTGCACTCTTATGTACATTTAAAAAAATGGAAAAAGCAGCCACAACAAAAACATCAATCCAGCGACGACAAGAAATGGTGGAAAATGATTTATGCGCAGTAATATGAATGAATATATGGTTATGTTCGTTTGCTTTATAGATTGAAAACTTTATCGGGCAAACAACGTGCGTTCCCATTTTCCAGTTATCCAATGTGGACACACAATGTGGAACGGTCATCTTTATGGTCGCCACACACGATGGTCCAACCACTACAGTGATACCAAAGTTATGGAATTATCAATGACATGATCATGGTGACCATAAACTCATATTTCAACAGGGGCGTGAGGTGGATTTTTTCAACAGGGGGAACTACTTTATATAGTTTTACCTTTGGGACCTATATATGTATGCACAACCATCTTTTCTTTTCCATTTAACAATAAAATTCAAAAAAGATAATTAAAAAATGTAATCTTTCGTAAAAAAAATACTTTTAAGTCAGGTTTATACTATATACCTAAGTCGTAAATTTATAATCTATTATCTTAGTTGAATGCGGTGTATGACAGCTTAATGAATATAAAGTGATACCTAATAAATACTAAACTTCTTTCTTAAGCTGTGGTATTAGCCCCCGAAAATCCACCTGGGTAGGCCACTGGATTATAGTGATGATCATGATGCCGTCACTTAAACGCTTTTGTTTTTTATGACCCAAATCGGACTGTTTCAGATCCGTTTCACTTCAGATTTTCGGGGGAGGGTGATGGTAGGGGGAATACTGGCCGGGAGATAGAGATGGGGCCAAAGGGGGCCACATTTCGAAAAATTTGAGGCGGGGGATACCCCCAAACACAAACATTTCCGCGCCCCAAAAATAAAAGTGAAAAGTTTTAGTGCCCAGTGCTACGACTCCACACATGTATCTTTCATTTTTTTCCGCTCCTACACACACTTTTTTATACCTGTTGTATCTCTTTTTTTCTGCGAGTGTATGTGTGCCTTATCAAAAGGCCGCATTTTTCATTTATTTGTTTATTGTTGATTGATTAGGCTCATAAGGTATTCGCCTTCTATGATTCAAGCCAACATATAATATTCCAGAACATATCCCATATCACTGGGTTATAGATATACATACATAGGTAAAGTATAAGATATACTTAAGGTATTCAATTACTTAAGGTATAAGAATTCAATATTCCCACTCTTCTAGCAACAAAGATATAGGTATTTTGAAGAAAAAAATATTTTAAGACCACGAATTAAATAATTGCATAATAATTCGATTACCAAAGGGGCAATATTAGATAATAAATCAATGGCAAAATCTCCTATTGATTATTGGCATTTTTGTGCAATTTTTAATGCACTTTTCAGTTGCATGTCAGCTTCCAAAATTCAATTTCTTAACCCATTGAGCGCTACTTTCGCTTTCCGTCTAGACGCTTCTTCGGTTTTTCTTTCGATTTTTTATTTGGTGCCCCATCATCATCATCAGTATTGTAGCATCATTATAATCACGATGATGAGTGACTCTGGGGGCTGAATCAACAACATCGACCGATCATTACAACAAAACATTACGAAATGCATTTTAGCTTTTGTTTTTATTTTATTTTCATTTCTTCTTGCTTCCCTCAAATTCTGTGGCACGTCATCTTGTGTGACTAGGCACGGGAAAAACAAAAAAAAACTAAAGAAAAATCCACAAGATGTGTAATAAATTACACCGAAGAAAGGCGAGACAACAAAGGCGTTTTTAAAGTGATTCAAATGGTCTGGAATAGTTGGATCGGTGCAAACAAAAACCAATTCAAAACCAAAAAAGTGAGTCAGATGAAGCGACCCGAGATGCGTCCCACAATTGCCTCCTTTTTCCACGATTTTTTTTTTGTGTTATTGTAGGCTTTTTAGTACCGCCAACAACAAAGGTATTCCAATTTTATTGAGATAAGATAAAGGCAAACGGAAAATCATCGAAAAAGTCGACCGAGATATGCCGCATAACTTGCATTATGTAAAAGCTCCGGAGCGATAAGAAACATACTTTTTACTCTCCATCCGGTTAATAAATATACTTTATTTCTTTTTTTTTAACTCTTAAGATAATAAAAATAATGTTTTAGATATCAGACCATTAAATAATATACCTTCTTTCCAATTAACCACTTCTGAAACTCCATTATTTTAACCCCTGCTGTACTTCAGCTTTCATCCATTATATGACACGTGTGTAGAGGGTAAGGAACTGATAAATATGGTATGGGGTCTATAAAGATGGGGCATCTTACTCACAAGACAAATAATCAAACAAAAGAGTGTCAACGCAATTAACAGTTTCCTTTTTCCCTTATTTGTGCCACCCCGTTTCCCTCATTAACCCCTCGACCTATCTGAAATTCAAAGGCACTCCCTGTTTTAATGTAGCCCCCCCCCCCATTAGCTTTTTCGAAATCCCCCACAAATGGTTCGACTTTAGCCTGATGAGCTCCCTCTGATGATGAATACATTTTTGCCATTTTTAGTTGACTTTATTTATAGAGAGCAAACACAGCTGGTAAATATACCTCCCTTTTTCCCCCATCAGGTACACAGGGAAAAAACTTAGATAAGAGTGGAGCTGGTATTATAAGGGAACATTTTAGTTTTAAGTATGTTATATGTTAGATATTTTGAATTTAATACAACTGAATTTATGAGAAACGTACGTATTCTGCCATTTTTTTACTACTAATAAATAATTGTAAAATTTACCAATGCAGATAGTTAAGTAATTGTAAAAGAAGGTTGACAACTATTCAAAATAGTGATGTGTATTTTCTTGTTGCTCTGGTTACTATTTAATGGTAAATATACCATAAATATTTGGTATGGTAAATATACCATAAAATAGTAAGCGTCGGGTATTTTGTTGTTGTGAGAGTAACTATTTTATTGGTAAAATTAACAATTCGAAGGGTTGGTCCCATTTAACTATTATATAGATCAATTTGACCCATTAGTTCTAATGTGTGTCATATTTGATTTCATACAACCATGTACATTTTGATGGAAGTATAAGATTTATTTTAGTATGTTAAGTTTAGTAGTATTTTTTTGTAATACTTTTGTTTTGATAAATAGGTTTCTAATTTATTTAGAGTGTAAAAGCTATATGCAAGGTGCATTTCCAGGCCAACTGTCAATATTTTCAATTGGCAAAAAACCCGGTTTGTTTGTTTGCTTAATTTTTGGGCTGCTGTCAGTTTTGGCTCCATTTCAGTGCCAAAAACCCAACGCATTCCGCAGACAAGTTTTTTTTTTTCGCGGGGGCTGGTGGGCATGGTCCGAGGGCGTTTGCTAATGGCATTTTGCTGTTTCAAAGCCAAACAAATGCCAAATGTACATAAGCCAACTTGGAATTCAGCTTGAGACGTGACTTGAACAAGGGAATTAAGACCCTTGGATGTAACATACTTATAAGTAAGAACTTCCGGTAATTGGAACTCCACCTAAAAGTACAACTTGTGGTTCCAATGCACGTTCAAGGAAAAATTTTGAAAACGTGTCATAAAATGGTTAAAAAATAGTAGTTATAAAAAAAATTATTAGAAACCCTTGAGAAGAGTTGGAAAAAAATAATATTAGTTTAATTTTGTACATCAATTATATTTATAACTATATTTCGAACCCATTCTATTAGTTAAAAAAACATTAAAAAAGCTGTTGGTACTCCCCCTTTATATAATAATCATATGTCAATTTATTTATAAAATCTTTTAGCTTGATACACATAAATTAATAAGGTATAAACAAATGCTAAGTACTTTTTTCAACAACTCATAATTACCACAAACTGTGATTTGTTGTAAATAACTTATCTTTACCATGGATTCCATGTGTAGTCCTCTAAGAATGTAAAAACTTTTAAAGGGTCTACTGCACCTTATCTTATGTACAGCATATTGAGAACACGAACCATAAATAAATGCTCATGTTTACCCATTTGGGTACCTTAAATATCTCAAGACCTTCGGGGACATCAAATAATATAAAAAGTCAAATGTGGAACACGATTTTCATACTAACAACCGAATAAGAGACACATTCATATGGCTGACACAATTGCGAGCACATATGCAAACATAATTATCTATGCAAACCGAAATAAACCAATTTTATTTTTTTGCAATTTGTAAATTAAAATCATCTGCACGGCGGAACCAAAGCAAACAGAAAACAGATTCGAATAAAAACCACAATAAATAAATTTTGAAAAGTACAGTGGAACGTTCAAATTTAAATAACAAAGTTTACCAAATTGAAACCACTAAATCTATATTTCAAAAATAATATATGCATTTATGTAGGCCTTTACTATTAACTTTTAGATTACTTTTTTTAGGAAGCGTTATTTTTTTTATCATATTCTTAAAGTTCACCTGTAATT